ACCTTTTCAAAGCAAGAGATAAACAACTTCTATAAAACTATATTCAGGTGATTTATCTCAGGAATGAGAAGCTCCATGGGGGTTTTATGCAAGTATTCCAGTCTCTTTGCTCATCTGAATTAACCCACGTGAACAGTTTTTGGCAGAGATATCAAAGGATATTGAATTTTTCTAAAAAACATTAGTCAGCATGGTCATTTTTTGGCATGGAAACAAGTATGGCACAAATGAAAGAACAAAGAAAAAAGCATACAACTGAAAAGACACTTAGTTCTGTCATGTATTCTGTTAACTGCTCAGTAAACTAGCTAACACTCGTAGCTCTGCGTAAGCAAACAATAATTGTCAGTATTGGCCAATAATTTTCCAGTAGCCACTGAATAGCTTCATTTTAAACTTCAATCAGAATTTCTTCTCTTGTAAGAAATGGTTTGAAGTTTTACAAAGAAAGCAGATACTTCCACATTCAAATAAATTTATATCCATATGAAGTTCATAAAAAATACCAGTCATTCTAAAGAGGTTATGATGCCAAATAAATGACATTTATTAAAGGCCTTTTCCTCATTTTTCTCTTTTATGAGCACTTCCTAAATTATTTAAAAAATGCCAGTGATTCCTCTTGAGTTCAAAACTTTCATTTGCCAGAGTCATACATTATTTATCCATTCAGAAATATCACAGTGACATACATTTCCAGTACATTATCTTATCAAGGGGTGCAAGTCACTTAGAAGACAAAATCTTTAGTGCTGCTGTATGTTCACCTTATTTTGAAGGGGACTGATGAATCCCTTCTTGAAAAAGCCCTCTGAATGGTACAGAAACATAAGAACAGCCCCAACGCTGGTATATCTCAGCAGAATGCTCAAAGATGCAGGTGGACTCGGCGAGCACCAGAGACATCTACACAGTGACTGCTCCTGTGAGACAGCTCAATAAATTGTCTCTTTGGAGCTCCCCCAGGAGGGACCAAGCCTTTACATGGCCCCTTACTCAGATCCACACCCAAGGCAGTTCAAGCTTGCCTTGGAGTCTGTGTCAGCACAGGTTAAACTGCTGGGCAGGGCGGTGCAGGTCCACCCAGGTAGATCAGACTAAGGCTGCTCCACCTGCGTACCACATTCTGCACCTGCTTTGAAATATTGGCAATTCTATGTAACATTAAACTTCCTTGGTTTTTTTCAGGATTTCCTCCTTACATCCTCAATTCCCACATTGGAATCAATTTTCTTTGTTACTAGTCTTTGAGTTTAGGGGTGAAAGGATGAACACTCGTCTTTGTTGTCGGGTTTGCTTGGTTACTTGAGGGTTGAATGGACCTATCTCTCTGTATGCACGTGGTTTGTAATGCTACCTGACATAACACTGTTGGGCCAGAGAAGCAGCACAGACCTGTAAAATTACTCCAGGTGGCTGACCACCAGGTTATTAACCCAACCAAAGTCTTTTAGGTGGTTAGAAGGAGAAAAGAGTTCCAAAAGAGGGACCCAATGTGCAAAAATACACCCAGTAAGGTGTATTTGACCCACAAGTTTCTTGTGGTGGATGGATAGAGTGGTGCAGATATAGTTTGGTGAACAACATAGCTGACGGAGTCTGGATTCCTGCACATTTGTGATACAACTGACCTACTAATTGGCTATAAAGGGTAAAGGCTGACTGAAGTTTTTTGTACAGCTGGGATGTTCACTATATTTCCCTCTTGCTCAGAGTCTGGTCTCTAAAAAGGATTGCATTTTTGTCTCAGTGGACTCCCCAGAAAGGTTCTGTATATAACTATTTTATTCAAACTTTGAGGAAATTAATGTCTCTCAGATCTTTTCCCCCCTGCCAGCTATGGCTGAAATTGGCTGAGGCTTCCAAAGTTATTAAGGAGTCTCCAAAGTTATTAAAGAGAGAGGGGCATGAACATGCTAATTGCATAAACTGCTGCCTGAAGAAAACCAAAGATCACAATCATGGCCCTGAATGGAGAAAAGGTTTTCTGTCCCAGTGGACAGTGGGTAACATTCAAGGAATATGTTTGTCATGCAAAATTACCCTTTTCAGACATACTTATATGAGGCACAGAACCAGCTGGGTTCCACGCCTTCACCAGCAATATCGATATAACATAGCAGAGCGCTTAGTCCTTTTGGCATGTAGTAAGTGCATCCTGCCAATTATATTTGGCAGCTGCCACTGGATTCATCCTTGACAAAGAATAACAGATAACCTGACTCAGGGAATTGCTGGTGGGACATAGTGACTTTTGCATTTAGGTGATCTGAGGAAAGCAGACCTACAGTTTGCTTTCTTGTTGGCTCACAAAGCACTTGAGCAACATTCAGATCATGAGCTATTCAAGTACTGTTCTCAATCTAGATGATATTACATGGCCAGAAGCAGGGTTGTGCTGGCATCAAGGCTGCTAGCTGTGCTGACATTCGAACTGCAAAAACTGTGAGCCAGTGGGAGCAGTACAGCAAATCTAGTTTGTACTGCAATAGAGCAGTGGGAACCTGCAGGGAGACACTTCCATCCTCTGCCTGAGAACTATCAGGGAGATCAGGAGGTAACTAGTACCTGATCTAGTGTCTCTCAAACTTGTGAAACATCTGGAAGGAAACTATAGTATCAATTAAGTGGTACCCTCACAGGTGGTAATAGTTCCACAAAAATCAGTAGCAGCACTAATTACATGAAAAAGAGTCAATTATTTTAATTCAAAAGTTTAAAAAGTACTGCTTTGGAGTGAAGTGTGCTGGTGGCCACTCATTTTGGACAATCCTCAAGATGGGTAGTGCTTCCAGCAAGCTGCTTGCTCCCCCTAATTCACTGTAGGCAAGGTCATTGTGACTAGCTTCAATGGTACAACTGTCTGTTCAAGAAAACACAATGTGCAGCAAAATGTGGATGTTCACATGAATTCCTCCTTGGCAGAAGCCAGGAGCTGTTCTACAGAAAAGCAGTTGCAAGAGCTATACCAACAGCAACACCCAGCATTGCTGGACCCAAAAGAGGATGCTTGCCCAAATGAAAACATAAGGCCAGAAGGAAACATCTGGGTCACCGAGTGTCCCCTGAGATCTCAGGCAGTGCATTGTGTAATCTCTTGCATATATGCATTGAACTCCCCTTATTCCCAACAGAGGTTTTTCCTGAAATTGAATGTTTCATGATAATGCGTGCAAGTGCTGAACAATCAGCTACTAAAAATGTTCATTTAAGAGTCTGTATTAAATTATGATGATGAAGAGGTCACGTAAGATTTGTTATCATGATTTTTAAACTGTCATTCAGGTGGTTTCTAATCTAGGACAAAAGTGATCGAATAGGAAATCATCCATAAATTTAAAATAATTACTCTCACTAGGTTGCAAAAGTTTAGTAGTAGATTGCTGTAAACCCTTAAAGATCAAAGAGGTAGAGATAAGGCCTCAAAAAACAGTCTGTAAATTTGTAATCATATATCCTTAAAGAGCCATTTATCACTACAGAAAAATAGACATTGCTCACTAAAAGAGGCATATTAATCAGACATCATTAATTCTAGAACTGTAGCTGCTAATGCAGTTTAATCTCTATAGCCATTTCTCTGGTTATGGGGTACAGTATTTTTGCCCTTTTTTTAGAGGTCAATTTGCTAGTATTGCTTTTAATGCAGACTATGTATTGAACCATAAACAAGGTGGATCAGGTCCCACACCAAGTGACAGAGAAGTTTGATAAAATTTCTTACAACAGAAAAGACAGTGGACCTAGCGGAAATGTCTTCTTTAAGATACTTAAAAGTATAGGATAGCATTTTCCAAGCAGTACCAAATAAACTCAGAGCTTAGAACCTCCTGAAAGTTAATTGGAATTCATGTGTCTGTCTTTTTTGGCAGAAGGGAAAGTAAAATTGCACAAATTAATACCTTACCAACATTGACATCATAAATTTAAATATTTTTAAAATGCCATTCCATTGTGAATGAGATTCAATGCTTTGAAAATTGGGGGGGCGGGGGGTGGAAGTGAAAATTACGCAATACTACAAGATGTATTTGCGTAGTCCATACAATGTGTCTGATATAATACACTAAACATAAGAACAATTGTTTCAATCTATCATTCTCATAAATTAAGATATGATAGTTCATCTGCAAAATTAAACACAATCTCAATCTGGATCCCAAGCCCCAAATGTGACCAAAAAAAAAGAATTAGACAGACTTACTAGCAGACTTACTGCAGCCTGATGAGTCATGCTGGTTAAGTGGTAGCTGTAAGAAATAATATATTACTTTTATCCATCCATTCATCTGTTCCATGTATAAATAAAGCATGTAATCTCTTTAAATAGATCTTTATAGTCTATTGCTTTCCAGAGGCTCTAAAACAAGCAAGGACAAAAAGGCAAGTATGAAAACAAGACTGTCTTTACTTATGTGTTCCCCTAACAAAATTATAAAACACTGTAAAAATTCAGAAAGCACTGTGAAATAATTTATTCTGACTTCTTTGAAAGTGATGGGATGTTTGGCCACTACTTTAAGCAAAAGCAAGCCAGGACATTTTCTTATAGTGAGTCTGATCCCTGTAATTAATTACTGGGGTGTATTATTACTGCCTTGATCTGACTGTACTATTTAAAGCAGATAGAAATTCTATGGCTCCATCAATAAGATATAGAAACACAGACAATATGTGATTCATCTCATCTTTGATCCATTAATTTAGGAACCTACAATTTAGATGAATACTACAAACTAGTCATCCAGGTTCTAGCTATAATGAATGGAAAATCAGATCTTCCAAATATGGTGATTGCCACCTATTTCAGAAAGGAGGGGTCGTTCCTGCCTCCAGGCACCCCCTTCAGCTCTCCTAATTCAGCCATGCATGCAGGTTAGGAGACCTCCTTGAGAAGTCATAATGCACTTACCTCAGGAAAAACAGCAGATAAATGAGAAGGAAATGATGGAACACCAGCCCCAACCAGGTGCTTCTCAGGGGAAAAAGGTGGTCAAAGCATAGCAGAGAGGGGGACTGAGCATGAAAAGAGGCATGTTCCACATGTTCCCATGTGGGAGTTGGTCTGCAAAAATAGTAGTTGTACAGCTTCAGGCTACAGACCCTTAAATTTAGGTGCCCACCTTTTATGGAACAAAGGGATGTCTAAGCCTACATTTAGTTTCCTACACGTAGGTAGGTAATTAGAGCTGGATGAACTCTCCTGAACTATCAAGATAGATGTAATAGATATATAAAACAGGAACATGAAGTGGTTATGCTCTTCTGCACCAGCAGGTGGAGGTCAGGTGGGGTATCCCAGCTGCCACTAGAAGCTTTTTTGGGGGCATCTGAACCAGAGGCTAGAGCTTCATTAAAGTATGCACTTAGGAATGTATTTCCCATGTAGATAACAATGTATGAAGATACATCTTCATCTGTGCTCTGAATCTTACTTTAAGGGCCCAATGTCTTTCAGCTCTGTGCAGATATCTCATATAACCTCAGGCACCTCAACTAGGCCTGGACACCCCCATGCAGACAGCTAAACAGATCCTTCCATGTCTGGTTGCAGAGATTTCCTCGCAGACCTATCAGAAAAATGTGAGGCACACCTCTGGAACAGAAGAGATTACAAATAGTAGTGACTGAACCGGCATAGCAATCCTGTTTGAGGTACTTGTATTGCCAGCACTTTGCAAAATGTAATTACATCATATCCATCTGCTTTAGCAGAGAATCAGGGGACCACTACTGTGCTGTGAAGGACAGTCTAACATCTTTAATCGTTCTGAGATGTCGGTGTTAAGTGATCTGTCTTCTAATCAAGGATGCAATAATACTGAATTTCACACATAAAACCCGTGTGTACAAATTCATTCAACTGTCTTTAATTTGAAATATGGGCATTAGCAGTTGTACAGTTTGACAGACTGGTCATTTTTATGATGTGTCTGTTGGTATGGCCAATATTTTATCTCTTCATCACCTGCACTTAAATCTTCCTTGCCTTTGGATGCTGTGCATGTGCAATGTGTGATAAAGAAACAGAATTACCTCTCACCCCTGGAGAAGGTGATCCCTGCGAATCAGCACAGTGGCTATTGGCAGGCAATACACATCATTTGCATTGTGGCTGCCTGTACCCTGCTTGACCTACATATGAATACTGCAATTCACCTAATCCCTACTGCTTGCCCAAAAAACTCCAGTATAAAAAAAGTATGATAATTGCTGCTGCTACCTGTCACAGGCATAGCATCATACCACAGTATCTGTGAGAGCTTATGCAAAATGGTGCTCAACTGGCAGGAAGATTAAAGAGTTAATAAATTCAGACCCATTATTTTTCACTAACTGAACATGTAGGAAATAAAGGAGGGGTTTTCTTTTGGCAATAAATTAGCTCCCACCCTCCTTTTTTTTGTTATTACAGTCATGGTTCAAAGCCCTCTACAAAAACAAGGTCCCACTTTATTATAGGACAGTCAGGTTCAGAGCACAGCTTGCAATAAAGAAATTAGCAAACCAGAAGCTGCAATTCTGTAGAAACACTCAAAAACGAAGAGGATTTAAAGTGACAAGATCCAATTAAATTTAATTACCCAAGCTGTATTTTCATTTTAACTGACACTTTTTATTAAGGAGCCACATGCACTAAAGCTAGAAACCTGGGCCAAATTGCATCCCAGTAATACAGTTATCTTATGCAAAATTCTGAGTATCTAATTTTCTAAAATGAAATTAGAGACATGGGGTTTGTAAAAGGTTCTCTTTGTCTGATACTATAAGATGCTGTTTGCAATGTACCTAAACTACTGTATATCTATGCTACAGTAACACCTGATGTACCTAATAAAACTTATTGGGAAAGGGTTTTAGCACACCTTTATTATTTTTTAATATGGAAGTATTCAGTATAAATCAGGGGTTTAATCACTTCAGTATATATCAGAAGCTAAACAACAAGGTTCAATTCAAATCTAAAACTCCTGAAAACTGAAGCATAAAATATGACTTTGATAAGAGAAAGTTATTTATGAATCTTTTAGTTTTAGAATTAAACAAGCATATAAAGCTGGACCAAATTATTATTTTATCATCGCCTTATTTGTTCCCGTGGCAGAAAAGAGCAAAGAAGGGCTGCAGAGAACAAACAACTGTGAGACTTACACTTAGGAGTTTTTTTCATGCCTCTGATTTTAAACAAAACATTGCAAAAATTTCGAAAGAAAAAATTGAAAACCACCAGATGAATTACTGAACAATTAATAAGAAAACAAGAGAAGGGATACATTTATTTAAGAAGGTCAAGCCGGTGGGAATAGCTTAGCTTGAGACCTTTAGGATGAGGATTTAAGAAATGCATGAGGCTGTACAGTGATCCTTCCCTCCCGAGAGTTGAGTAGGATGTGCCAGTGCCTTTGGTGGCTGTGAGTGGGAATATCACTGGTGTCAGCACCTCAGTGCCCACATCATGCCTGCTGGCAGCCCTCACAAGGAGTAGGATTAACACTCTCCCAGGAGCAGAATTAAAAATGAGTGCACACTGTCTCCCTTCCTTGACTGGACCATAATTCCCCCATGAGTATGGCAACAGTCCTGTTCAGTCACATTGGAGATCTGCACTGCTGTGCTCCCTCCAGCCATTCTTCACAGCCTCTCAGGCCAGTGGGGACATGCATGGATGGCATGAGTGCCTCTCCTGCCAGCAGCAACAGAGGCTGAAGGGCTGTTCCAAGGAGGTTATGACCAGGACCAACCACAGTCTTCTTTTTTTTTTTTTGCTGGAGGAGAGGAGAGGAGAGATGCTGGGGTGCCAGGCTTCAGAGGAAAAGTGCTTCCCCACATGAGCTGTCTCCCTTACATGTATGCACACAGCATTACCAAGAGCATTACCACAAACTGCATTTGAGAAAGTGAAGCTGGCTTCCTTTTCTGTCAAGTATTGCTTCTACACATCTCAGGTTTCTAAGCAGAAGAGGGCTGTGGCCACAAAAGCTCTGTTTTGGTATAGGAGAAGGGAGAGGAAGAGACTGGGATAGAGTCCCAGACTTTTATTTGTAAAGTGTGAAAATAAAGAATGCAATTACCTCATGGGAGTGAATTCAGAGCCAAAAAATGATCTGTAATCTATTTAGAGAGTGGAATGAGGTGCAGCCACAGTCGCATGGTTCTCCACGCAAGTTTCTGTATCATTCCCCTTTGTAACTTTTCAGCTTAATTTCCTGTGAAAACAGTAAAGAATGTGGGTATTAACACCTACCAGAACAAACATGGTGGCAGACTGTCGGAGTGGCTCCAGAGGAGTGCTGCAAAAATGATCACAGGGCTGGAGCACCTCTCCTACAAAAACAGGCTGAGAGAGTTGGGGTTGTTCAGCCTGGAGGAGAGAAATCTCTGGGGACACCTTAAAGCAGCCTTCCAGTACCTAACAGGGGCCAACATGAAAGCTGCAAAGGGAGTTTTTACAAGAGCATGTAGTGATACAACAAGAGGGAATGGCTTCAGACTAAAAGAGGGTAGGTTTAGATTAGATATAAGGAAAAACTTCTTTACTGTGAGGGTGCTGAGGCACTGGAAGAGGTTGCCCGTTTCCCAGAGTAGCTCTAGATGTCCCATTCCTGGAAGTGTTCAAGGCCAGTCTATATAGGGCTTTGAATAAACTGGTCTAGTGGAAGGTGTGATTCTACTAATACCTTAGCACTCTCCTCTACCCACATTAGGCCAGAAGAGCAGAGCTACCACAAGAATTGGATCATTTATTTACCAACTTTCTACTTAATAACACATTTGAAAAGAAACATTGCCATGCACATCCTCCCCCAAACTCAATAGCTTCCTCGAGGTAGTGCCATATGAATACATTACAGGGATCAGAATGCAAATGCTTTTTAACATCACTTTTATTTGGAGGTGTCACCCTTGGTAATTGCATGCCCCTGTCCACAATAGCAGAAAGCCTGATGGTGAAGTTGCTCATATTTGAGGCAAACTCATAATCTGTTACAGGAAATTTTAGCCAGTGAAGGAGGCCGAAACAAAGGGAAAAATGGGGCCATAAAGCAAACCAATCCCAATTTTTATGAGGTAATCTAGCTCTATTCCTATACTGGAATTTTAAATGTTTGGACCTAAGATTGGCATTCCTTTGAGGAAAAAGAAATCTATGTGCTCATATATTCCAAAAGTAGGAGTATTCACAGCTAACTTAATGAATACCTTCCCCCAGTAATAGAAATACAATGATGGCCAGAAAGTATTCAACAAAGAGCCACCAAGATCACACAAGTAAGTTAGGCCAGTTACTGCAGTTGATTGCACTGAGAGGACCGTGCAGTTAACACCCTTTCTGGCTGTCTCTTACCTCCTATCCTGAACAGCTGTTACATACTCCCAAGGGCTGCCTGAAGGAAGAATCCAGAGAAAGTCTCAAACTTGCCTTCAGATCCATACCATGACTCCATGCTGGGTCCACCAGCAAACACCAAATCCACCACACATACATACAAAAGGTCCTTTGTCTGGCACATTCTTTTCCTTCCTTGTTTCACATCAAAATTAATGAGGGAAGAAACAGGTTTAAGTAAAATGCACTATAAAAAAATTTTTTTAAAGATCAAATAGAAAGAAGGGGAGAACATACCTATGCAAAATGTAAAGGGCTACATTATCCCAAGAACCAGGACTCCCAGTCATGGCTAACCCCAGCCCATACATGGTTATGAGCTATATGTGAACTCACATGTGCCCCATGCCCACCTTTGTATGACCCCCAGCTCCTCTGATACCTATCTTCACCGTGCACTATATGACAACTGGGCAATGGGGCAGAGGTCTTCACCCTCCTGATGCAATTTCAGTTCCATTCAGCCCTCAGATCCCAGAAATCCTGAGCAAAACATGGCTTGCCAGGTACTGATTTGTCTCCCCTTTTTCGCCTCTTGCTGCCCAAGCAACATAGAAATTGAAACACAGTGTATGCCGATTCAGTTGTTAATTAAAAAAAAAAAATTACAAACATGAATAATTTTGATACAATTCATTCTAAAGATATTACACATATTATAATCTGCCCTGAGTAGCCCTTGCTGTAAATAAGACTGCCTAACTCAGACCTTTTGATGTTAGTCCTTCTCCTGAGAAAGACAAGGGAAATGCTCATGGTGGTGTCAGTGGCTGTCTAGAGTGTCAGCTTCATACTCAGAAAGCAATAAAGTAGAATCTGATTAACATTCTGGACAACTAGCTAACAAACACATTTCACTTTACTACCAGTCTTTCCTAAAAGCAGCAATAATGCAAAAGAAATAAATTGTCTTTCTTTGCATAAAGGATTAATTTCTCTAACCTTTTATAATTTTCTTGTTATTTCTGTCACATTTGATATGTTTCCACCTTCAAATATTCATTAAATATGAACATTATAGGACATACAGAATAATCAAAGAGCTTCTTATTCTTCCGGTTGAGGGATATTTAGTGATGTGATAAATCAGTTTAACCAAGATATCAAACATCAAGCAGATTGTCAGAAAAAAAGGAAAAGCTGTAATACAAGTCATATACATTTTAATTTTGTAACTTCCAATTACCTGCTCAGACAGCTTCTCCCTTTATTGCCATTCAAAGTCCATTAATTAAAAGTCACCCATTTAAGAACAATGCCTGAAGAAAAAAATCCGATTTCAGCCCATAGCCACATATTTGTTTAGAAGGATGAATGACTGAAGTGGAAAAGCCCACCCAGCATCCAGTCACACGCATACCATGAATGGCTCTAAAGTGCCTTTTGGGTGAGCAAACAAATCGTGTAATTCTATCATGTGCTGATTCAAAAATAAATGCTGGCAGACTCAGTGGGCTCTGTCTGGCTCTGGAGGGTGTCTCGTTTCTAGCACCAGGGAGAATTAACAGGTTTGCAGTCATTTCCATGCTAGTCTGTAGAAACAACTATAGAAGTCTATGGAAGGTATTCATTAAGATTGAAAATGGGGGAAACAGCTTCCCTTGGATGAATGAAAATATGTCGTTTAGCTGGTTGGTGAGCCTTGCTCACAGGTTCTGAGCTAATTCAGTCTTCAGATTTGATGTCAGAAGAATATTCCCCCAAGCTCCAGACTGGCTGCGCTTGCTGGAAGGCCCTTCATTCTCCATGGGATAACCTAGGAGGTTTTTTAGCATGTTGCGAGTCAGCACCGGATTTTGGGATTTGATGAGGGTCTTGGTCTCTCCTGCTCTCTTCCCGAGACATACTTTTTGTGAAGCTTGGTCGTTTCCTGAAGGGCTAGATTTGCACTGACATGTTGAAAGTGGCAACAGTCAAAGCATCCATTCATGGCTCAGGCTGGGTGTCATGTTTCAAACACAGAAGACGATAATTTAGTTTTACTATTGTTTGTGTTCTACATCTTCTGTAGGACTTTAGTCTCCATGGTGGTCACCTTGAAGTCTACAAATTTTATTGAATGTGCATATTCATGCATACATACAAAATCAATCAGAATGAAAAATATACCCAGTTGATGTGACTAAAGAATGCTGGAAATAGGTCCGAACAAATGCCAACACTTCATCAAGCAAAGCAAGACTGGGAGAAAATCCAGAGATACCGTTCGCTTGCCTGGTTAAGCTGTATTGTTACGCTCTGTCCTCCTTCAGTACAGCCCCTCTTTTTGTACTAATCTTCCCTACATCTGCTGCCAGCTAGGCCAAGCTCAAACAGCAGTGTCAATTCAAGGGTCAGAGAGGTCAACGGTGACACCCGATTTAAGTGTTATTCACTCTGATGCTGTGACAAGACAGATACAGCATGGCCTGACTAAAGTGATGTATGTTAAATTTGTTGCAAATTACTGGCATGATGGATCTATTGATGACCCATTCTAGCTGTCAGGATGTCTCTATCAGTCTCTCAGTTACGCTTTCTCCTGAAGCTCAGCCCCATCCCCCTCTGACTGCTCCCATCAAACACAGTGTTGCTTCACAGTCCCTGAGAATCTCCAGGTGCAAAGCACAGGGAAACAAAGCATCAGCATCTGCTGTGAACCTGAGGAGCATTGGAAGTCATCTCATGAGGGATAAAAGTTTAGTGACTTGAGTCACTGTGCAAATTTGCATTATCTGGACACCTATAAAAAATATTTGTTAATAATAGCACTTCAAGATAAATCCTATCTTCATCCGAAGTGTTGAAAATACAATTATTTGAGCTCTTGCTTGAAGCACCTC